GAAACACTATTTCATGTGCCTTTTAACTAAGATGTATTAACTTCCCTCGGGTGGCTCTGATCGGTCGCAATCTACAGAGACCCTTCAAAATGGACTTAATTTTTTTTTGAATAATGAAATCATCATGATTAAGGGAGGCAGAAATGTTGTGTTCTGCTAGGATAGGAAAGAGAAAGCCGTAAGGGAGGGGATACTGTGAGGAGAAGAAAGGAGGAACAGCTTTGCTTCCATCTTTTGCATGCATCATCACGCATCATTTACGACCCTTAGAAGAGGGAGCATTTGCATCTGTTCCCAGGGGCGAAGAGAAAAGCACTTTTAGTGCTCCTGTAAAATTAGCAAAAAAGTTGTTAAAATCAAGTTTAGCGGAACGAATCTTGCCCTTTCATACTTTTCCTCGGCCCTCCTGCCGCTTCAAATATGATGAATGGGACAAAACACGGCCCGAAAGGAAAATATTGCAGGCTGAAATGTCCCTTAATGTCTGCCTTCCATGAAACAGCAAATTTTACAATTAGGCTCTGGATGACATTACAGTTTCACTGTTTTCAACCTTGTTTCACTGTCGTAAAGTTGTAGTTCCAACACTTTATTGCCATACTTCAAGATATCCATCTTAAGTCGATACTGGGAAGGTACAGAGACCTTCTAACATCAACGTCAACCGAATTTCTGACCGATGATAGTAAACTTATTAGGCAGATAGATTAACCATCATGTCTTATAAAATGAATGACTTATAAAAAAGAACTGAGAAGATTTCATGATGAAAGAGTGGAAAAGTAAAAACTGATGTATCCATCTTGAACTCCCGGTCCTTCAGTAGCGCAGCAGTGTGACAAAGCTCTGTGTGGCCAAAAGCTCTGTTACTAGGTTCCATAGTATGGACCAAAAAACTAGGCTTCTTTAGTTAATTTGAATGAGAAAATGTCTTTTAACACGCCACTTTTGGCCAAAATAATTCTTTTAAATGGAAACTGAGCTGCATTTATTCAAATCAAAATACCTCCCTAATTTTGCTGGCAAATGCGCTTTTCTAGTAAATGATGGAGTGCCTTGCAGCCGGAGGATTTTTTTTCAGACCCGGGAAATGATTCGGAAATGCCTTCTTAGCCACCTTGCGCATCTCTGCTTCCCATTGGTCAGAGAGAGTGGACGCAGGAGTTTCTATTAGGGACAAAGATATAAGATTACCGACTTGGAGAACCTGAAAGATAACCCTTTCTCAGATAAGGGAATGCAGAGCTCCGGCTAGACGAAAGGAGAGAACCTGATAGTTGGGAACATGATCGCGGATAGTAACATGGAAGACTTAATAAAGTCGAAATGAAACAGCCGTCTCTTTGTTTCCTTTTACTTATTACTTATTTGGTCGTAAGGAAAACTTCAAAACGGATCAGTCATTCTCGCAAATTAAAACTTGTGTTATAGCCCACAATATTTCATTTTAAGTTAAATTACAATTCTTTCTTAGAGTGAGCTAAGCACTCACATCCACATTATTTTTTTGCAGGATGAAAGAATAGGCCTTACTGCATGACCCCATCGTGAAGATTATAAGAGGAGCAAACTACATTAAAGTTTTCCTCCAACGAGCGAAAGTGGGCCAGGATTGCACATCCTTTGTTGAAGAGTTAGAACAACACCTCTACCTCCAGGGATACCAACTTCGACTGCTGCGGTACATAGCACAGATTTAAATGAAATGCTGGGAAGCTAAATTGGTTACTCCCTAAAGGAGTGGTAGAAAGTGTATTATTAACATACAAAAGGGTTGGA